CGCTAGTGAACATGGATTTTGCTTGAAAGCGCTTTTCGTGCATTTTATTCACAGTATAGCTGCTTCGCGTTTTTGAACTATTCACGCATTTGACGCATCATATGCCACTTTGAAATTACAGGAAATGCTGAATGTGAGATAGACTATTTTTCATCAAAAAATACATGCTCCTCCTTCTTGACATGTTCTTCCTCCGCATGAGTTCCAGAGACAACTGAATAACGAATCCGCTTGAATTCACGTCCAATTCGCCTGAAGTCTCCAATGAAATGACGTTGGAAAAGCTCGCTGATACTTCCTTTCCAGTTTGTGGTTCACAATAAATCGTGACTGATGTTGAAGTATGAAAAACTATGTAACCAGTGATTAGCATTCGATCATATCTAAACAGAGTTATTCACAAAAATAGTTTGCTGCGATGTGACCGGCAAAACAGCTACTCACGATATACAAACCACCGACTATAAAAATGATAATTTCCCGAATGAATCAAATACTGTGCGACAGAAATAACGGAGNAGAGCTTACCAGTAATTTCCACTTTTTTACTTTTAAAAAATAACTTTGGGTTGGAATGACGATGATGATGAACGATGATAATGAGGATAGTGATGATTCTGTTCAGGAACATGATGAGGTTAATGACGGTGATGATGATGATGATTTTGTTGATCATGATGATAATTCAGATCATGATGCGTCGGATGAGGTCGATAACCATGTTGATTCTGACCGTGATAATTACGCTGATTTAAATGATGACGAGGATTAAGCTGATGTTCATGTTGATAATCACGAGGATTCTCATCATGATGAGGACAACGCAATTGATGAGAATGATGGTGAAGACTATGACGACATTGATGACTAGGATGATGAGGATTCGGATGTAATTGACGAAGCTGATTCAGACAATAATGATAACGATGATCACGAGGATGGANAGATGATGATGACGATGACGGTCATCTTCACGATGAGGAAATGATGATGATGGTGATTCGGATGTTCCTGATGATACCGTTTCCAATGACTAACAAGATGATGAGGTCGACGAAAATTAGAATGATGATGATCATGATGATGATGATTTGGATGATGACGATGATGACGATGATGATGATGATTCGGATGACGATGAAGATGATGATGATAATGAGCATAATGATGATGAAGACGATTATGAATAGGATGATCATGCTGATCATGATGATGATGATAATGATAACGATGATGAGGCCGATGATGAGGCCGATGATGATGGTGATGATGATGATGATGATGATGATGGTGATGACGAATCGGATGCTGATAATGATGATGATGATGGTGAGGATGATGATGATTTCGATGATAAAGTTGATGATGATGATGTTGATGTAGATGATGATGATGGTGATCATGATGATGATGATGATGTTGATGATGATGGTGATTCGGATGGAGATGATGATGAACATGACGATGATGATGACGATGATGATGATGAGGGTGATCATGATGAGGATATTGATGATAAAGTTGATGATGGTGTTGTTGATGAAGATGATGATGATGGTGATGATGATGATCATGAAGATCATTATGATGATGATGATGATGATGATGATGACGATGATGATGATGATGTTGTTGAAGATGATGATGGTGATTCGGTTGATGATGATGATGAGTCGGATGATGATGATGATGATAAAGACGATGATGGTGTTTCGGGTGATGATGATAATGATTCGGATGATGATGATGATTCCGATTATGATGAAGATGACGATGATGATTCGCATGATGATGATGACGATGCTGATGAAATTGAGGATGATGATGATGATGATGATGATGATGATGCTGATGATGATTATTCGGTTGATGGTGATTCGGATGTTGATGGTGAACATGACGATGCAGATGATGATGATGACCATGCAGATGATGATTCGGATGATGATGATGATGAAGATGATGATGCTCAATCGGAAGATGAAGACGACGATGATGATGATGATGTTCATGGTGATTCAGATGATGATGATGACGATGATGATGTTGATGTTCGTGATGATGATGGTGTTGGTGATGATAATCATGAATGTCATGATGTTGATGATAATGATGATGGGCATTCGGATGATGTTGATGATGATGCTGATGATCGTGATGATTACTCGGATAATGATGATGATTCGGATGACGATGATGATGACGATTCTGATGATGTTGATGACGATGATGATGATGATGAAGACGAAGATGTTGATGATGATGATCAGGATGAAGATGATGATGACATGGCTGGTGTTCAAATGACGTGATGATGATGAAAATGATGATGGTGATGATTGTGTTGATGTTGATGATGATGGTGATCATCTTCATGATGAGGTTCATGATAATGATGATGATGATGATGATGATGATGATGATGATGGTGATGACNTGATGACGATGATGATGATGATGATGATGATGATTCTGAAGCTGATGAAGATGATGATGATGA